GTCAAAGTCGAGTAATGCATGTATTCACGTGTGGACAGAGGTGGATGTGGTGTGGTGAAGGCGCTCTTTCCACCTTCTACTGCACCAAACGCTTTGAGCCATTCTTAGTACTTCACTCCCAGTCTGTGCAATTCGTGCACAAAAAAGGGGTGAAGTTTGACTGAACTTCGGGTGTGGCATTACTCAAGCTTCGGTTAACAGTGTTGGCTCTGATGATCTCGTGTTTTTTTATTTTTTTTTGCAGTTTTCTTTTTTGATTAGAGGATTTTAAAGATCACTTTTTTCTCCCTTTTATACCACAAAGCAGGCCTTTTCCCTGTACTAAAGAGCCATTTTCACTACCTAGCGAGGCATTGCACTTGGTAGCCAAGGTAACGCTAGCGGTTAGATCGCTTTCATCATCTCTCACACATTCCGCCTTGATGCTTGAAAGGGAGCCGATGAGTCAAAGCCTCACCTCTACTTCCTCCAACTCAGAATGCATCGACATTGTGGTACAAACTAGTTAACTTTGGTCTGTTTCTTTCTCTCTCTCTCTCTCTCTTCCCTTTTCTCTGCGGTTTGAGTGGAATTAGCTGAAACATACATTAGTACGTGATTTGTTTAGCACACCACTCCACGTGTCACACACATGTGACACGTGGCTCCGTGTCAGTTGGTAATACTCGTGGTTGTGTCATCGCGTGTCGCCAAACCTGCTGATAGAGTTTAAACCACCAAGTGACAGAAGTTGACAGACAGTGCCAAGTAGAAATGTCATCCACCTTGGATCGACGTGGTGTGCCTCACCTTCTCTCCCATAAAATGCACTACTATTTATCTCCTGCCATGTGTTCCTTGCACTTTAAGGAGGTCAATTAAACACCGGCATAACTTTAAACGGACTTAGCCGTATCAGGAGGTACGGAATTCAAGGCTTCAAAGCGTGTCGTTCCTTTGTCTCCCCATAAAAGCAGTGTGGCGCGAACAGTTCCTCCACGAGGGTTTTGTTGGCTACTTTGAGCCTCGGTCTCTTTAGTAGTCATTCTTTGTGGAAAAGTTATAGAAACAGTCATTTTCGTTGATTGGCCACGTCGAGACGGCTACTCCCCGCCGCAGTCACCAAGACGCGATGCATCAAAAGCTATCCCTTACGAAGATCGCGAGGTGTTTAATTCTGAAGTGGAGTGAGGTTGGGCGGCTAGTCGTTTAGACCATGGGACCAAGTTCTCGAGAAATCGAGGGAGGGAGTGAGTCGAGCAGTCGAGGCAGTCGAGCAACAATGCCTGTCCATCTAGCGGGGGGAGGGGAGGAGGGAGGAGGAGGAGAGGACACTGATATTTCCCGCCAAAGTGTTCAATTTCGGATCCTTTTTGTGATTACTCCTAATTGTCACCTTTTTTCCCTTTCTTTTTTAGCTGATTCGCCCATCACTTTCACTGGCCCAACCGTAAGTCTGCCACAGTGGAATTTGCTATTTTGCTTACTCCGTGTAGTTGTGTGCACTAAATAGGGGGCATTTTGGCATCTGACGCAATTTGGGTGCCAAATTTGGCAGCACAAGTGAATGTCGGCACAATCAACCGACATTTGTTGCGTCCTTTTGCCTTTTGACTAACGTGGCGCACATAAAAAGGGTGTTTGGTCTGCATCCTTCATTCCTTTTCCACCCTCTAATGTGGTTATCCCTGGCAAATGTGAGAAGTCAAACGTTTTTAACCCTTTTAACAGTAAAAAGTAGAGATATTGTGGCAATTTAAAGCAGCTGCCCTTCTTTTGTCATAAGGCAAAGATTCGGCTACTCAGCATGACGTTTTGAAAGGAAATAGTCTAATTTCCAATCCGAATTGTTGGTACCCTTCGACGTTCTGCCTTCACCACATCCAACGAGCACACCTAAATGGGCGATTTAAGTGATCTCTAACATTTTGATACCTTCTTATGACGGTTCAATTATCTGATTCTGTGCAGAGATGAATATACAGTCTTAGAAAATAGGCTAAAACTAAGACTAAAACTCATTTCTTCAGTTACCTGTTCCACTCCCTACTTTGACTCGTTATAAGTAGTATTGGTACAGTTTCAAAGTCTTCATAACTTGTAATCAAGTGATTAAAAGGAAGAATTTTAAGTACTATTTAAGGTTCCAATACTTTCCTATTCACCTCAGTGCACCGTCAGGTATCGTACTTTCCGAAATGATCGTTCTCTTCTGTTGGATTGTTGTACTTTATTTAACTGACTGAACGTCCCGCCAGATCTGGACTCAATGCTCCACTTCTCTTCATCCAGAGTGGTGACTTCAGTGTCATCATCGGCAACAGGGATGTCCTGCTCTGCGAATGAGCATCAGTTGCAGCACCTTCGGGTACAGCAATTGACTGAGGCGTTGGTGCCACTGCAGAAGGAGTGCGAGCGCATTGTGCGGGAGAACAATGCGTTGACGATGGAGTTAGTTGCATTGCAGAAGCGACGCATCGCTTTGGAGATTCTGCTTGAACGTTTAACGCCCTTGTGAACAACTGTCCGTCTCGCTTTCGCCTATCTGGTATTCCTATTCTCTGGTTTACACGTATTTATTGTATTTGGCAATGCTACAGTTAATTTTGGCTGAATTTTCCCTACTGTTTGAGGTAGTTCTCAAGAGAAGCCCCAGAAGTGCCTTTACTATGGACACACGGAAAGCCGGGGCAACCAGTAATGGGTGAAGCCATAGCACCAGTGCTCCTGAACTAACTCTCGATGGGCTGTAAGGTTTTTAAACTAATAACAAGGTGCCACTAAAGTAGCTCCCATTCTTTCGGCCAAGAACCTTGACAGTTCCTCCTGGGTGGTGTCCGAGGTAGCCTTTATGACTTCCATCGG